ATTTGTAATTAAGCAAAGACACTTTCACAATATTTTCCTATTTTTTTTCTGCAGAGAGTCTAATTTATGTTAGTTTGACAAGAATAAGTTTTTTTAATTTGTAAAACCAACTTTAAAGACAAAATTAATTGTCCCCTTATACACAGTTGAAGTCAGAATTATTAGCCTCCCTGAATTATTAGCCCCTTGTTTTTTTCCCCAATTTTTGTTTAGCAAAGCAAGGAAATTTTCCCAGTATGTCTGATAATGTTTTTTCTTCTGGAGAAAGTCTTATTTGTTTTATTTCGGTTATAATAAAAGCAGTTTTAATTTTTTAAAAACAATTTTAAGGTAAAATTTATTAGCCTCTTTAAGCTATTTTTTTTTTCGATAGTCTACAGAACAAACCATCATTATACAATAATCTCTTGCAGAAATGTATGGCTCTGCCATCTTCCTTCCTGCCTGTTTCTGCATTTTCTCATTGCGTGCATGATTCAATGTAGCTATAATCATTTTATTTCAGCTATTTATTTTTTAAAAGGAAATTAACTAAACTAAAAAGTAACTTGCATTACACTTTTTTAAAAAGTAACTCAAATAATATTACTTAATTTTGAAAAGTAATGATGCATTATTTTATTTGTTACTTAGAAAAGTAATATTATTACTTAACTTATATTACTTGTAATGTGTTAAGCTCAATACTGGTTTTCAGTAAATAATATTTACAATAATGTGATTTATATTTTTCAATTTTTCCAATGATGCATTAACTTAATTAAATAGATTATTCACCCAGAAAATCCAACTTATTTATTTATTTATTTATTTATTTATTTAGTTAGTTAGTTAGTTAGTTAGTTAGTTAGTTAGTTAGTTAGTTAGTTAGTTAGTTAGTTAGTTAGTTAGTTAGTTAGTTAGTTTTGCCATCAAGTGTTTCCAAACCATTTGGTTCCAGACAAAATATCTTCATTTTAAACATAATAAAAAATGGTTACAGTTTTTCAAAGACAAACAGATATTAAAACAAGTGATAAAGGAGTCAATTAAGTTTTAGATTTTTGCTGAACTATCGCTTTAAAGTCTATTCTTGTTTGTTGTAATGTAAAACTAGGGCTGTTTTTTTATTCATCAATAAAAAACGAAAAATGAAGCCCAGCTTACACAAAAAGCAGCAAAAACTTTGTTTAAATTGTACAAATATTTTAGTGTTTTTACTTAATTTTATCAAATACATTTAGCCTTGAAAGAACATGACTTTTTAAAAAAACATCTTTTAAAAATCAATAAAAACAACAAAATATTTTCACTTGTTATGACAATGTGATCAGACAATTAGAGGAAGTTTTAACTTATGAAGTGGTCTTTGGTTTTCCTGTTTAAGTTCTTTTGACTGAGCTAAGATCAGCAAAATGTATTGCGTTGAACTTTCACACGCAATAATAAGGGCCACACATGGCAGTTCGAGGCAGCATATGCCTCATACAAAACCTCAGCGGTACTGGGAAAACCAAATGTTGTTTCCCTATTTTTAATTGCTACTTTAGTTGATTTGTCTCTTTGTTTTGCTTTTCTTCTCTAAATCATGATCCAGACATGTTTACTTGTTAAACATACTGTTAAATCTAGGATTTGCTTCATGATGGTAAAACACTTTTGGAGCGGGAATCCGATTGAATTGACAAATTACTCTGCTGTGGGAATGTATTGCTGTAGGCTGCCTGAGCTTTTACTCAGGGTTGAAGTTGAGTTAAAAGTTTTTGCTGAAGACAGAAAGTCAGTCAGACAGTGATTATAAATTATGTGCTTTTATCCTGCCAAACGATTTGACATAGCTTCTAGGGAAAAAACAGAATGAAATGATCGAAGCAAGCCCAGTGCTGCGCAGAAATAAAATGAAAAGTGTTTCCTCAGTAGACAAGAAAGCTTCCCCTACTGCTATTAAAAATGATTGTACGTATTTGTTTTTGACAAAGTTTTTTTTTTTTCTCTCTTTAGCTAGGAACATATATATTTCAACATCTGCTTTCTCTGCTTTTGAAAAAGTGAAAAATGTTGTTCTTCCTCTTAAAGTATTTAAGTCACATTGTAATGTTAAATCAATACTCAGACTTGATTGCGGTGTCTGAGAGTTTTCCAAAAAATATTCAAAAGTACAGCTACAGTAAAGAATAAAAAATGACTATATTATAAAATGTTTACATAACGTTGACAGCTTATATCACATCCAGTGTGGAAAAGAGACCAGAGCGGAAAAATACTAAAATAGAAGTTAACAACAGAATGTATTATAATTGTCAGCAATTTGAATGACAGTCCGTTTATAAAACATTCCATTTTCTAATCTGATGTAATGCTTTTAAAAGTATTAAATTGCTTTGAAAAGTAAATGTTGTTGTTTTCCCAACAAGTAGGCAAGAATAAAATATTTATTTGGCAGTTTTTTTAATACTTGTTATACAGTAATTAGACATTAATCATCAATTGATCCAGATGTTAAAGTAGATTTTGTATGTTTTAAACTGGTCTGCTGGTACATTACAAACTAAAATAAAAAAAAAACAACTAAATATATTTCACAGCTGAAATATTTTTTTTCATTGCTATTAAGCGGCTCTATAATTCTTTCAAGCAATGATTGTTTCCATATGTACTCATGGGGCAGGCTTAAAGATGTGCATTGGCATGATTTATTTATTTATTTATTTATTTATTTATTTATTTATTTATTTATTTTTATTAAAAATGCTGAGTATTAGTGTTAATATTATAAGACCTGTAAATAACTTAATAAATGTTTTTATAGATATACATATTTTATTCATCTTTTTTGGAGTACTTTAACAGCAAATTTGAAAAGTGATAAAAATGAATGAGTACACTTTTTTTAATAAGCTTTGCAAACTTTTGAATTAATTTATTGAGCTCTAATATCAAGAAACATATCAAAAATGTTAAGTTTAATTCCATAAATCTTTCCAAATCCTATTTCTGCACCTCCTGTGAGTGTTTTATTGTAGCTTAAGTGATGTTTATTTCCTTTCTAATAGTCTCTTGAAATTTGTTCCAGTCAGTTTATGTATGGTGCCTGTCCCAGGCTCGATCAGCCTCTACAGGCCGACTCTTCACTGCATTCAAAAGGCTAATACAATCATGCAGACTGTGTGTATCTGTATGTAAAGTTGAAGTCAGAATTATTAGCCCCCCCCCCCCCCCCATCCCCCCACCTGTTTATTTTTCCTCAATTTCTGTTTTACTGTTTTAATTTCAGTTTTTTTTCAACACATTTCTAAACATAATAGTTTTAAAAACTCATTTCTAATAACTGATTTATTTTATCTTTCCCATGACAGTACATAATATTTGACTAGATATTTTTCAAGACCCTTCTGTACAGCTTAAAGTGACATTTAAAGGCTTAACTAGGTTAATTAGATTAACTAGGCAGGTTAGGGTTATTAAGGCAGGTTATTGTATAATGATGGTTTGCTCCATAGACTAGAACAATATAGCTTAAAAGGGGCTAATAATTTTGACCATAAAATGTTTTTTTTTTATTAAAAAGTGCTTTTATTCTAGTCAAAACTAATAATAAATAAAAATAAAAATAAAAAATAAGACCTAAAAATATTATAATACATGCTGTGAACATTTGCTTGTTCTGTTAAACATTTGGGAATTTGGGAAAGGAAATATTTAAAAAGAAAAAATAAATCTAAGTGGGGCTAATAATTCTGACTTATATAGAGAGATGAGAGAGAGGGGTTAGTTTTATAATGCTACTTATAGATATTTTTGCTTTATATTGATATTTTTGCTTATTCTAATGAAACTTTTGGCGGTTCATTCCACTGTGGTGACCCAAGATAATGAAGAGACTAAGCCAAAAAGAAAATAATTGAATGAATGAATGAATGAATGAATGAATGAATGATGAAACTAGTTTTGTGAATTAAAAAAAAAAAAAGTTTTAAATATAATAGGCGCTTCATTCCTTTGTGGTGATCCCTGATGAATAAAGTGACTAAGCCGAAAAAGAAAATTAATGAATGAATAAATTTAATAGTAATGATGGATCTGGGAATATAACAATATAACAATATAACAATATATATATATATATATATATATATATATATATATATATATATATATATATATATATATATATATATATATATATATATATATATATATATATATATATATATATATATATATATATATATATATATATATATATATATATATATATATATATATATATATATATATAGATATATATATATATATATATATATATATATATATATATATATATATATATATATATATATATATATATATATATATATATATATATATATATATATATATATATATAT